CAGCAGTGAGAGAATAGCCGAATGCCGCCGAGCGGCATTTGGCTCGGCTGTTCTGCTCGGTCCCTCAGAGGCACCGAGCAGAACAGAAAAAGAGTGAAAAAAGTAGAAAAAAGTAAATAGAAAACGATTGTGCAGAGCTAGCAGTGACAGCTAGCTCCGCCCAATAGTTTCCTATTGTCCGGCGGCTCTGCTGCTGTAAAAAAAAAAAAAAAATTAAAAAAATCTATCCAAGTTTGGAAAAGCAGTTTAAACTTTACTACTTTGAGTTAGAAATGGTAATCAATCAGTAAGCTTGCCAGGCAGACCCTAAGTATAGTTTTAAACACTTGTTAGGTATGCCCAAAATGGGATTGAAGGAATATACATGAGTCAGGACAAAGAGTATGGAACCCCCCTATGCTAATGTGAATTACTTTTAAGGTAAACGTCCCATAGGTTATTTTAAAGTAAGAACATAGATATAAGGACGAGGGATGACGCTTCAAGCCACCCAGACAAAGACACCCACACACAGACACACCCCCACACTCACACAGAAGACAGGCACCTGTTAGGATTATTTTACTTACAAACTAAAGACAAGTTTCTTTAGCATCGTATAGACTTATGCTGTAAGATATACTATATTTTGCAATCATCAAGCATCTTATAGACTCATTCTGTAAGATATACCATATACTGTAATCATTTGTAACTTTGCAATTAAAACACATTTTGAATTTTATGCAAGATGGAAGAAATTTCCTCTTTTAACCACCTCAGGGCCGGCCGTTGTAAAAAAACAGCAGCCGAGAGGTCCCCCCCAAAAAAAAATTAAAGTTACACATAAAAAAGAATAAAAAAACTAAAAAAAAAAATTTTAAGTGCCTACCCATACATACACGCTTGCAAACATGCATCGGGGGGGCATACGTGCAAAAAAGACGATTGCGCCCATTACGACGCACATGTTACATATTGCCACGAACGTCGCAGTGAGATCAATAAGTCTAGGGCCATCAATCACTGATAACACTAAACTGATGAGCAGTAAAAGCTTTTAAAGCATCGCCTATGGCCAATTTTGGGTATGGTAGTTTTCTGCGATTTCGCAGGTGCGCGCAATTTTAAAGCTTGACATGTTTGGTGTCTATTTACCCGGCATGACCCGATCTTTTATATTTTACCAAAAAACTGGGTAATAATAAATGTTTCCTAACATAATGTAAAAAAAACCTTTTTTTTTCAAAATTTTCTGTAAGTTTTCCTAATTATAGTAAAAAATTAAAACCCCAGTGGTGTTTAAATACCACCAAAAGAAAGCTCTATCTGTCCCCAAAAAATGGTATAAAATTCATTTCAGTACAGCGTTGCATGACGGAATAAACGTCAATCAAAGTACCGCAGCGCTGAATACTGAAAAATGGCCTGGCCAGGAAGAGGGTCTAAACACCTAGTCTTGAAGTGGTTAAACTTCTTCCACCCTATGCAACAAGAAAAAGAATATGACATAAAAATCATATTTTCAACATCCACAGAAACCAGTCTTCAGAAAATATTGCATTAAAATGTTCATGTATGACAAGACGGCTATCAAGAAAATGTGTGCCATAGCAATTGATTAGAATCATGCTATGCTATTGGAAAACAAATGATAGCCAACTTTAACCACATAAGACACAAACATTGAAGTTGTTCTGCAAAGTGTTTATTTTTTATTTTTTTGTGTTAGGTATTTATTTATTTGTATTTATTTATTACATGTATTTATATAGTGCCAACAATTTATTCAGTGCTGTACATACTGCACATTCACATCAGCCCCTACCTTCAAGGAGCTTACAATCTAAGGTCCCTATCTCACAAGCATAGAATTAGAAATACTGTAGGGTAAGTAACTGACATGTACAATCAGATACCATATTACATGTACAAACCAAGCTCCTTACATAGTATACTGAGAACCCTCTTCTCTCCTCAACATCAGCAATGTGGGCAGACACTGCAACATCTTCTGCCAGTTGTTCAAAGTCACTACATGGGAAAGGAAACATACAAAGACGTCAAATTGTGCTAAGGATATTAAGATCAAATCCATGAGCAATGTCATTTTTCTGTCATCAATAATGTCATTTTTCTGAAACTTGGCAGACTGTGTCTCAGGCATACCACCAATTGAAGAGCATATCAGCTAAACACTACTTGCATCTAATATAGTCACATAACATAATACAGGGTGATTTAGGAAAAAAAAACTTCTTTAGAAAAAAATAACACAACTATTACAGGTATGATCAATAAAGCAGGTGTTAAATGTAAAGTGCAGTGTTTTTATAAATCAGTTATAATCCAAGGCTTCAGTAAAGTGAATTCTGATTGGTCACTATAGGTAAAACCAGCACTTTGTTTCTTATACTGTTTGGGAGCGTCATAATCCTAACCACCAGCCAGATGTGGAAGTATTAGAAAAATAGGATCTGTAAAAGAAGACTGCTGCTCATCCCGGCTGCCGAATTATAAAAAGTTGACATTTAGGTAATAGATACAGAAGCAGTTTTGGGCAAACTAATGGACTGCAAAACTTTCCAGGAATATAACTGGATGAATCACAACGAGAGCCTGAAGGCTAAACTACCTGAGATGACTGTGCTAAGCTGTATCTCACTCACCAGAGGTGTGGGTATCCTATGTACCTTAGCGTAAAAAAATCTTGCTGTATTGTAGACATGTGCGATTCGTTTAGTTCCGAATCGAAATTCGGACGAATTTTCGGAAATTCGGACATTCGGATGTATCCGAATTCCGAATTACAGACATAACGAATGCAAACGAATCCGAATTTCCATTTCCGAAATTCGGTAGCGTTAGTACGAACGTTCGTTTCGTTTTCTGTTCTTATTCGTTTCTTATTCGTTTCGTTCGTTGGAGCAAAGTGACATTAGAGAAGGAGAAAAATATTTTTCCCCCCTCAAATGTCACTTTTGCTGCAAACGAACGAACGAAACGAATAAGAAACGAATAAGAACAGAAAACGAAACGAACGTTCATACTAACGCTACCGAATTTCGTCCGAATCCGAATTCCGAATCCGAATTGATTTTCACACCCGAATCCTGAAAAACGAAATAACACAAATCCGAATTTAAAACGAAACGAAACTAAACACATTTTTTGGCAGTGCACATGTCTACTGTATTGTATCATAGACAAACTTCGATTACTACCTTACCTACCATGTTACTATGTTACATCAGAATAGTTCATGTTTTGATGCTCCCCAAGGTTTTATGGCTCAATAATCACTCCAGGTACAGTGTATGGAAACGCATAATATTTTTAGGAGAGTCTCTCCACTTTCTTTTGATGATCATTACCACTAAGACAAAAAGTCAAGGAAAATCCAACATTTTAAAGTGGGGTCTACTGAGAGGGAAGGCTACCTCACCCAATGGGGACAAATGTCCATGTGTTAACTGTTTAAGATTTTAAAAAAATGTATTCCTTCTGAGGAGATTGCTAAATTTCCTGCTGTGTCTCCACATGCTCCAGGTGGGTGATTTAGAACATTTTGAAGCCAAGGGATCAGAATGACAAGTAACGGGCTTTTTTTCAGATGAATGATGAATTCAAATGAATTCCTAAAAATGCATAAAACAGCCTCCAAGTCATGTTGGTATGCCTTAACACTGGGTCATTCTGATGGGGGAAAGCTCTGCCACTTCCTGAAGGTATAAAACCTTGCTAGCCCCCTGATCTTGACCTCCTGGGAATGATATTAGACACCTAAAGCTGAACTTCAGACACAATCATTTGAATGTCCTTAATGCAGTGAGGGTTGCACTACGTAGTGCAACTAACAGCTCACTGGATTGATACATGACTGAGATAACCAGCTACTAACCCCTCTAAAGCCCATTTCTCATGCATTTGGTCTGATCAGCAGGAAATCTGCGCACAGATTCCCTACTGATCTGAGCAGTATGGAATGAATGTCACATTTCTGACATTCATGCCCGTATCCATCTTGCCATGGGAGAAAAAAACAAACTAACCAGACCCATATATTAGGTCTATGGACAGACGAATGTAAGTGGACATGCATCCATTCACTTCCGATTATGTCTTATCTGTCCCGTGTAAATCTGCCAAAGATTCCATGTTTTTTTTTGGACCTCGGAGGTAATCAGATGCAAAGGGATGCACGTCAGCTTACATCCAACTGCGATCAGGTCTGCCGGTCAGTTTTTCAGACTTGAACACTGTGTGAACTGGGACCTAAATGTATTCAAATGTTGGAACCCGATGTTCAGATTAAAGGTCATACCATGAATTCCGCAAGAAAAGCAGGCTTTAACTATTCATGTAATACATTTATTACCTAATGCTTATTTTGTCTTACATTTTCTTTTAAACAGATGGCATCACTTAGTAATATAACATAATATAATATACAGTATATGGACAATGATATTTTTCTACGTGTTGCTTACCTCTCATCCCTGAGCTGACGAGGGAGGGACATTATCAGGAAATTTCAGTTCTCACACAGTTATATCAAACCTGTTAACAACAAAAAACACTTTTAACAATGATGTCTGGAATAGTTTAGTATAGTTGCTGTATCACTACTATTTACATCATATTACTATTCTAATTCACTAACAAAGTTGCACTAAATGTTCTACTATCCTTTAAATCCTTGCATTGTTTGTTTTAACATGCCAATATAAAGAAAAAGTAGCAGAAAGAAAAAAGGCCTCGTAAGTAATCATTGGCGCACTTTCAGTGGCCATGGGTTATGTGATTGGGGGGTAGCAAGGCTGTGTAACACAGCTATTATTAAGGTTTATGGAAATATATGTACCACAACACACTTTCTGTTAAGCAATCACACTGGAAGATGAGTAGACTTCCTGTTGATTCATTCCACAGGAAGACACAGCAAACAATTTCTAATAACCTGAAATAACTGATAACAGAAAATATCAGTCTGTACTCAGCTACATAGAATTTCTCTGTTAAAGCCTAATTTTGGGGGGGGGGTAAGTTAGCTTAGAAGCTTTGTTTTTAATCTTGTTTGTGTTGGAAATACAACAGCATATACAAATGTACAATAATTTGTCTTTTGAGCTGTAGATGGAGCTGTAGTGCAATGCTAGTCTCTATAGGCATGCTTATCTATGATACACAGGACGTATTTCTTTTCTCTATGTTTTTTTTCACACTGCTGTATTCATACATGTAATGTTCTTCTAAGGAAGTAAAAAATTCAGCAATCTTCAAGATCTCAGTGCTTCATCTAAACACATAATCCATAGGTTATGGGCCCAGACACTAAACAGAACACTGCAAGTCAACAAGAGTCGCACCCAAGCTACTGAAAGATGGCAAACAGTTCAGATATTGCAATTGCAAAGCTCAACAATACCAACTACCAGCTATGGAAATTCAAGCTTAAAATGCTGCTGAGCAAAGACAACTTGTTGCAAGTATTGAGTACAGACAGACCCACTAATGGACCCATAGAGGAATGGGACAAGAAGAACAGGCAAGCAAAACCAATGATATGTCTGCTAGTGGAAGACGACCAGCTCATCCACATAGGAAAAGAGAATAAAGCATTACAGAAACTGCATGAGCATTCAAACCTAAACAGTAAACTATATACGCTGCAGAATCTATATGGGGTGAGGCTGGGAAGAGGCCAGGGAATGCGTGAACATGTGAATGCCATGCTGGAAATCGTAGAACAACTACGTGCAATTGGAGAGGAAATGAAAGATAACCATGTGGTGGCTTTTACTGCTATGCAGCCTTCCAGAGGCATACAGTGCTCTTATTAACGCTCTAAAAACTCTCAAATCTCGGTTGTAGATCCTCAAATCATCTCACGGGTTTGGACTTGATGGACATATGTCTTTATTCAACCTCAAATACTATGTAACTATGTAAAAAACCAGACCTGAGCAGGAACTAGCACTAGAATGGGCCAAAGGAAAATTAATCGATGAATATGAGAGAAGGAAAGAAAATATGCACAATGAAGAGAACGGGAAAGCCCTTAAAGGTGCAAAGCAAAACAAAGAAAGCAGAGCATGTTTTCGCTGTAAAAAGACTGGTTACCTGAAAAAGGACTGTTTGATCTTGAAAGCTGAACAGCGAAAACAAGATGCACCTACAGGAGAAAAAGCTAAAGCAGCCACAATGGAAACTGCAGGCACATCATGGAGTGCTACCATTAAAGTGACTCAGAACAGTATACCATGCAGAAGGTGTATTGACTCAGGCGCAACAAGCCAGTGCAAAGGACAAAGTCTTCCTAGCAAATGGGTAAAAAAAAGTATTACTGCAGAAGTTAATGGTCAGGAATTCTGCATCACACCATCAGGGGACAAGCAGAGTACCCTCCTGAAAAAATGTACTGTATGTCCCAGACCTAGAAGGAAGCCTTCCATCAGTGAAAACCCTTGCTAACAATAGTCTTACAGTTAAATTCATTTGATGAAGAATGCACAATTCGAAACAATAAGCAAATCCTTGCGTAAGGAAAATTGGAGGACATCTGTACAGACTCATCACTGCAGACAAACAAGTCAAGACAGCCACTCATAATCCATAGAACAAATGTATCCACCTATGGCACAGACGACTAGGACACTGAAACCCAGAAGCCAACTAGGATATCATAAAGAGAGGCTTATTAGAAGATATAAATGTACTGCCATGCTGAATTCTTATGGCATGCAAATGCGGTATATTGAAGCAAAGGCCACACATACCCTATTTCCACAGGTCACCCAAAGAAAGACCACCCACCCCATAGAGCTCATGCACTGCGACGTGTGCGGACCTATGAAAACTCCCACATCAGGAGGCAACATATATCTACTGACTTTCATGAATGATTATTCCATGTACCCAACAACTTATCGGATGAAGCACAAGAATGAAACTTCAGGAAAACTTCAAGAGTTTGTAGCCATGTCCAGCAACAAATTCCACCGGAAACCAGGAATTATATGCACCGACAGAGAATACATCAATAAGAGAGTGTAATCATATCTGATGAAATAGTGTATAGTACACCAGAACACACACTATACATTCCTAAACGGTATGGTGTAGCAGAATGGGTCAATCACACTCTTATAGAAATGGCCAGTTGCATGCTGTCAGACGCCAACCTACCTAAGACATACTGGGGAGAAGCAGTCATGACGTCAACATACCAACAAAACAGACTACCATCAAAAGCCGTTAAAAGCACCACATTTGAAATGTGGCATGAATCGAAGCCTAGCCTAGGACACATTAGAGTGTTTGGATGTAAAGCCTTTGCACATATTCCCAACAAGAAGTAATCCAAGTTGAAAAACAAAACCCATAGAAAGTATTCTGATTGGCTATTGTAAACAAAGTAAGGGATATAGAATCCTCCACCCAAAGACTGACAAAGTGAAAATAAGCCACAGCGTTTATTTCGATGAGAACCCATCACCAGAAACAATGATTCCAGGAAGTGGTGAAGTGAATTCGCCCAGTGAACCAGCAAACGAAGCTGAGCAAAGTGAAGCCACACAAAAGTTAGAACAAGAGGTGGAACTCACAATGGATAAGTCAAGATCAATGTTAAATTCTACTGAACAACATGAAATTAGAAGATCCACTTGGGCAACAAAGGGAACACCACCCTGCAAGCTGTCATATACTGCTAAGACACATAGCATACTCGAACCAGCATCGTGGGAAGACATAGAAAAATTAACAAAACGCGAAGCCAATCAATGGAGAGAGGCAGCAGAGGAAGAAATAAAATCACCAAGAAAATAAAACCTGGACACTCACGGAGCTTCCCCTTGATCGCAGAACTATAGGAAGCAAATGGACTCTTAGGTGAAACTCAATGCAGGAGGAAATATCCACAAATACAAGACCAGATCAGTTGCCAAGGGATACTCCCAGAAATTTGGAGAAGACTACAATGAAACATTCGCTCACATCATTAAACACTCCACCATCAGAACACTCCTTAGCATCACAGTGGGGAAGGGCATGCAAGTAAAACACCTAGATGTTAAAACCGCTATCCCATATGGAGACATTAAGGAAGATCTCTACAGACTCAAGCAATCTGCAAGAATGGAAAATGAGAAAGGGAATGAAGTATTCACAAAAGAGGGATTTCACAAGAAGTAAAGCAGATGCCAGTCTTTATTTCAGGAATCAAGAAGACAGATGGATATACTGTCTAATTTATGTTGATGACATTATAACCTGTTTTGAACAAGAAGGAGACTGTAGTCAAATAGCTCACAAACTAAAACAAAACTTTGAAATTAATAAGCTAGTAGACATCAGTCTGGGAATTCAAATAGAGAGGGAATAAGATGAAGCAGAAACTTGGGAACAATTCCACATGCAAGATGCAAACTAAAAAACACCTCTGGAACCAGGCTACCAAAAGAGCAATGAAGCAGAAAAATTGCCACACAACAATTATCATTATTATTATGTAGGTTTTATATAGCGCCAACAGTTTGTGCAGCGCTTTACAATATAAGGAAGACACTACAATTACAATACAATTCAAGACAAGATGGTAAGGAGACATGTACTGCAGAGCAATCGGAAAGCTACTATACATTACCACTGTGACAAAACCAGACATAGCGGCAGCAGTGGGCATACTTACTAGAAAAGTCGCAGCACCCTTTCAGCATGCCCGGAACGCAGTACAGAGGGTAATACAGTACTTAAAATGAACAATTCATATTAAGCTACACTGCAGCAGGGTTAAATTCCAAACAAGTTGGATATGCGGATGCTGATTGGGCTGGAGACTGCACAGACAGCAAAATCCACAAGTGGTTACATCTTCCTTCCAATATGTAGAAGGAACCATACGTTGGTCTAGCGGAAAGCAAGCAGTTGTTGCACTTTCCGCAACTAAAGCTGAATACACAGCAGCAGCACATACGTCAAGAAGTAATATGGATTCCCCAGTTTTTAATGGACATGGGTGTCAGTGAGATCGAGTAAGTGGCCGCCGGCTGCTTTTCGTTTTCTGAGTCACGATCCCATCCGTCGGCTGCGCTGTCCGGCTCCATCCGTCCTCCCACCCTCTTCACAAGCAGGCAAGCCGCCCTCCACTCCTACACACAGACGGGCTCCGGCTCTCCCCTCCTCTTCACAACATAGGCGTTTGACTACGGCCGCCCCCCAGGAAGGTGCCGCCCTAGGCAAACGCCTACTTTGCCTCGCGGTAAATATGCCCCTGCCTAGAACCAAGAACATCGATGTGAAGTATCATCTGCTGAGGGACACGCAAGAGCAAGCTATTACTGACATATTGCTCATCAGAAGAAATGACTGCGGATGCACTCCCTAAGCCATTGCCAAAGGATTGTCGCAGTTTCCTTCGGAAGAATTTGAATGTCATATAGCAACGCATATGCTGTTGAGAGGGGTGTTGGAAATTTAAAATCATATACTAATGAACTGTAATTTGTCTTTTGAGCTGTAGATGACGATGTA